ACTATATATAAACTGGTTATTGTACTTTGTTTTACTAGGCCCACTTTATCTCTTTTATGTTTGCATTTTGTTCTTTTCGTTTTAAAAGGGGCTATATAAATAAAGCTTTAACCAAGACCTCCACGACTGACCGATGAAAATGTGTGAAATCTAATTGGCTGGGAGGGAAGTGAACCCGGAATTCTTTTGACAATCAAAGATGGATCTTTAATTTCTTTCTAGTTTAATAATAATTAGCAATGCTAATGAAATGTAGCCTATATTAGAAATGGCTAGGAATTGGGTGTTTGGATGATTTGTACATATAACCTCTGTCCTGGTTGGTCTCTGAGCAATTTATCAATAACAACATATATTTATAAAAACAACATATTATAGTCTCTGGTTATTGTACTTTGTTTTACTAGGCCCACTTTATCTCTTTTATGTTTGCATTTTGTTCTTTTCGTTTTAAAAGGGGCTATATAAATAAAGCTTTAACCAAGACCTCCACGACTGACCGATGAAAATGTGTGAAATCTAATTGGCTGGGAGGGAAGTGAACCCGGAATTCTTTTGACAATCAAAGATGGATCTTTAATTTCTTTCTAGTTTAATAATAATTAGCAATGCTAATGAAATGTAGCCTATATTAGAAATGGCTAGGAATTGGGTGTTTGGATGATTTGTACATATAACCTCTGTCCTGGTTGGTCTCTGAGCAATTTATCAATAACAACATATATTTATAAAAACAACATATTATAGTCTATGGCTCTAAATACTTCATATAAAAGATCAATGTTATGTCATCATTTGTCAGATACCTCAGCTGAATTTAAAATCATTGCAATAAATTCTCAGTTGTTATGATGACAATAATAAGTAACTATTCCTATCAAATCAACTGCAAAAACAGATGTTTATGATGCAAGATATGTTCACAATAAACGTTCTGATAGCATCGCTGTTTGCACATTTATTGGGAGTTTTTTTTTTTTTATCCAGTGTTTGTTTTCAGTTCTGATTTTAGTTAGATTTTTTGAAAACCCACTTCATATTAGCTATACACATTCAATGGCACTCTCCTCTAAAACAGTGAATATACAGTTATATGACAGTTACATGTTATTACATTGTCTGTAAATGCATTAAACACACAGAATATAATATAGTGGATGACAAATATGAGAAATTCATTATAGTGTTATATTTGGTCTCCAAATCTTAAGTATCGGTTTAGGGAGTATATATACAGTGGGTACGGAAAGTATTCAGACCCCCTTAAATTTTTCCACTCTTTGTTATATTGCAACCATTTGCTAAAATCATTTAAGTTAATTTTTTTCCTCATTAATGTACACACAGCACCCCACATTGACAGAAAAACACAGAATTGTTGACATTTTTGCAGATTTATAAAAAAAGAAAAACTGAAATATCACACGGTCCTAAGTATTCAGACCCTTTGCTCAGTATTTAGTAGAAGCACCCTTTTGATCTAATACAGCCATGAGTCTTTTTGGGAAAGATGCAACAAGTTTTTCACACCTGGATTTGGGGATCCTCTGCCATTCCCCCTTGCAGATCCTCTCCAGTTCTGTCAGGTTGGATGGTAAACATTGGTGGACAGCCATTTTTAGGTCTATCCAGAGATGCTCAATTGGGTTTAAGTCAGGGCCCTGGCTGGGCCATTCAAGAACAGTCACAGAATTGTTGTGAAGCCACTCCTTCGTTATTTTAGCTCTGTGCTTAGGGTCATTGTCTTATTGGAAGGTAAACCTTCGGCCCAGTCTGAGATCCTGAGCACTCTGGAGAAGGTTTTCGATTTAAGGGGGTCTGAATACTTTCCGTACCCACTGTATATATATATATATCTCTCGATCAAAGTACACAATACATATATGACCACAAGAACTTCATATGCTTTTTTGTTTGTTTAGATTAATCGTTCAGAGAGGTTTGACCAAACTGTTAAACTAGGTTATTTCCAAATCATCCAAGCACCCGATTGATTTCTAATGTTTGATGATCATGGCTAAGTAGTATTAAATTGTAAAGAAATTACAGATCCATCTTTGAAATCTGATTGGTTGATAACGTTTGACAACGTTTAATTCAGGTGCGAAAATAATTAATATCTGCATGAGCACAGAGAGATTTGCGAGTGCACAGGACACACTTTGAGCACGCACACTCTCTCTGGGCGAGAGCAGTGTGTATCTGACCACGCGCGTCTGGTTTTGTGCGAGAGCAAAGGAAATCCGCGTGCGAGCGGAGAGATTCGCGCTCACGCATTATATTTATGGGCTTTCGCGCTACAATAATGCACTCTCGACATTTGTCATTAAAATAACGCCATACAAAACACAGAAGTTATATTTGTTTCAACCCAACTTTGGGTCAAATATGGACTAACCCAACTTTTGGGTTATAAATGTAATTTTAAAAAGTACCCCAACAGCTGGGTTAGTCCATATTTTACCCAAAGTTGGGTTGAAACAACCCAGCATTTTTAGAGTGCACAATAGAAGGTTACCCAACAATGACAACTATGGCTTTCTGCTTCTGAGAATCCCTGAAATGTGAAAAGGGTCCATAGAAACCAATCGATCAAATAAATGCTTTATCATTTCTCATGTGTATTGGACAGTTATTAGAGAAGTTAGTGGAGGCAGACAACTAAACTTGAGGGATATTGCACATATCTCTCAAGCTGCCTCTCGCTGTAGGCTGCTGGGACTCTCAAGGCTTTAACTTAACCATTACAATCTGCATTGCGTCCAATTAAGCCTCGGCATATCAAATTAAAAGGACTTAAGTATCGTAATTTACACATTTACACTACTAGTAGTGTTCGTTTGGTTACTTTGTTCTTGTGGAGGTGTAGATGACAGCATCTTGTGGAGGTGTAGATGACAGACTGTTATTAATGGTCTTAGCATCATTATGCTGTCACCTCTCTGAGCCTGAATGCATTGGATGTGTGCTGAAAATCTTACACTGAATTGAAAAGCTGATGTTGAACCTGAATGTTTGAATGGCTGCACTGGTGTGTTAGCGAGATCTCTGCTGCCCCACTGTGTTCATATGTATACATACACACACACACACACACACACACAC